TCCTCGGCCTTCTCCGAAAGCTCTCTGTGTACCTGGCAGGACACTTATCACCCGGCTCCAGGAGAGGCTGATCTTCTCCCAAACTGGATTTGGAGTGACTACGTCTTATCCAGTCATACAATGCCTGAGACCTCATAAAGTCACTAGCGTATAGCAGGTGCTCCATAACTCGGCTGAGTAAGAGAAGTTTATAAACTTTGCAGTGAGCTTCTTGTCCCTACACTGCGGAGCACCCCAGCGCTGCCTGCCTCCCTCCGCTTGAACCTCTGAGACAAAACCACTTGTATCTTGTTAAGGGCATTGAAGTTTCAGGTGTTAGGCTTTTTCTTAGGAATGAATCCTAAGCCATACATTTGTTGAACATACCACTTTAGAACTTATCTTCTGTCTCTTACTACCTCTCATGGACTCTCTTTTCTGTTCTTAGTCCTGCTTCTTCTCCTTTCCACTCCCTCTTATGTCCCCCACTTTTTACTGTTTTTTTTCCTTATTGAGCATTATGCAAAACTCAAATATCTTGACGTATTCTCTACTGAATACGTTTTAAAAATCAACTGTTATTACAGAAAATATAAAATACACAAGAGTAGACAGAATAAAATACCAAATCCTTCTGCACCCACAACTCTGCCTCATCAGTTATCAATCTATGGTCAACTCAGCCACATCCACACTCTACTCTTTCCCCCTCTTCCTACGTTATTTTGAAGCAAATCTCAGACCTCATATTATTTCTAAATGAAGTTTTCAGGTCTCTCTATTGCTTAAAAAGCAGATGAAGCAATATTCTTCTTTTAGAAGTAAAGCCAAATTTTTAACTCATGTTCTTCTTCATAAAAATCATCCTTTTTGTATTATCAATCTTCCTATGGGTTCCTATTTCCCAACGCTTTGCCCCTCCCCCATTCCTCTTTTTCTCCCTTATTGTCTTTTTCCCTTCCTCTCTCTAATACATCTTTTGCCTATAGGTCCTGCACAATTATTTATTTATTTACAGGAAATCCATGTCTAATTTTCCCAGTCATACGTGTGGTTCTTTGAACTGCCTCCCTCTTTCAATTTTCAACCACTGAGAATCTATTTTGCCAAAAAGGCAGAGTTTCCTCATTTATAGTCCCTTTATGAGTTTGAAAGGAAGGATTTTTAAAAAGTCCCCTAGTCTCCAAACTCCCCTCTTTCCCCATAACAAAAACTGGCCACATTGGTAGTACAATGTGAGAAAATATAATTAATATAAGGAATCCAGTTACAGTAATTGCCAAAGTTAAGTATTGGATGTTATTTGAACTATACAAACTCTAAAACCCTAAATAGGTACTGAAGACTTGATTTTATAAAATTTAAAAAATTAAATTTATAATTTTTATAAATTGATAAGACATTGAACTTTTATGTCAGTGGAGCTGAGCCCTTTGTGGATGTTTTCCCACAAAGCAAACTGGAACTGTTTTGATATCACTCATGCATAAGAATCAAGTGTGTTTTTCATAGGCAGAGTGTAACCAATCTTTTGGAGTGAGTACAGATTATTTGGACATGGCAGAGGCAGATCTTGCCACAAAATGGTATAACAGAGTCACTGTTAAAGTCTCATGGATCTTATTTGCTTTTACTTTGTTATCTTGGTGAAAAATAAATGTGTTGACTTTCACACTGTAACAGAACAAAAAGAGCTATGACCAATCAACACAACTGACTTTATGTTCTTTTGGAAACTTACGGTGTTCCCAAGCGTTACAGATTTCTCCTCTGGGAAGTCGTGAGAGGTACTCCCATTGCTTTCACCTATTGATACTGAACTTCACACCAGTAAGGAAATGTGGTGAAAGAATCTGTAATTGTTGCTCATTGTGTTTACTTGTCTAACCTAAGACTGAAGTCTGAGAACAAGGGCTTATTGCTTTCATCTCTATATTTCAAAACACTCAACTTGTAGGGCCAGACCAGTCAACAATCCATGTGTGCCCAAGAACATTTTATGAAATAAATAAATACAGAAAAATACAGAAGTTCTGTAGGCAAAACCAGTAGCACAACTTACTGAAGTTCAGGTTTATTTAGCATGTTGGCATGTAATGCCTCTTTTGTTCTTTAAGTGGTTCTCTAAGTTTTTAAGTCCAGTTAGTTAACAGTGTTCTATTAGTTTCAGATGTACAATAATCTTGTGGTTTTTAAAAGCATTTTTACTTGTTGTATAGTCATGATCATTTTCCCTTATCATGTCTCACTACTTCAGTATTTAACTTTTTTGACATGATACTAACATTTAACCAACCTTTCCTAATACTCTTTTTTTTTTCTTAATGTTCAGTTTTGAGAAAGAGAGGGGGAAGGGACAGAGAGAGACGGAGACAGAGGATCTAAGTTAGACTCCACGCTGACAGCAGAGAGACAGATGCCAAGCTCGAACTCACAAACCACAAGATCATGACCTGGGCCGAAGTTGGATGCTCAACTGACTGAATCACCCAGGCGCTCCTCTCCTAATACTCTTAAAATTGTGTATTCTCATTTCTATGGCCAAGTGGGGTTTGACTTAAAATTTCAGGCACAGAGTGAGTATTTAGGTCTACATACTACTCACGATAGAGTAGAAGTGTTTTCTGAGAGAAGTTAAAGGAACTATCTCCTGGGCTTGTGGTTTTAACTGGAGCTGAAAGATTTAAAATGTCTCCTTATGGTCTTGGGAAAACAACTATTTTAGAGAAGTTGCAATGTATAAATAATATTCTAGCCACCCATACACTGAGGGAGAGGAAGTGGAGAGAGGTAGAGAAAGAGACAATGATCTAACTAGACATTCATCCACATGTCTAGACATTCATTCCACATTTAAATATTTAGAATTTTCAGTAGCCTGTGAATACAAGAAAATTTATTACATTAAGGTAGGCTTTAGATATTTGACATGTAGCTGATATTTTCATAGTGTGAGAAATATCAAGCTGACATTATACTTTCTCTGTGATGATTACTTCCAAATGTCAGAGAGTAGAAACTTATTCATGGGATTTCAGGGCCTTAGGATAGTGTCAATTTAAAAGACATTCACATCGACTTCTTTTTTATTTAAACATGCTAAATGGAGGATGAAAAGCAGGTTAAGAAATCAACCGAGAAGGGAAGAGCAAAGAAGAAACCTATTGACAAGAAAATCTTGAATAGATTGATGTACTCTTACATCAGTTTCATAGAACCCTCTCTGACTTCAGCCTTCCTGATTGTCTGCTAATATTTCTGACAACTGGAGTCTTGCTGTTCATATCATTTCACTCCTATCACTTATGTTGAATTTGGGAAATTAAAAAAAAAAAAGATGAGCTATCTGATTTTTTATAGACTACCTTTAATAAGTTAAATAACTACTATTTGAATTTTAATACTGACATTAGACTTTAAAATTAAATCAGTGATATTTTAAATTAAAAATGTATTCTTTTGTTCACCAAACTCCTTTAGAAACTAATTATGAACCTACTGAACTGCTATTTTGGAAATAACTCAAAGAAATGTAAAAAATTATTACTAAACAAATTGGCCACATCAGAGATAATTGTGAGTTTAAATAAACCTTTGTCTTTCCATTTAGGCGCACTGCGGTGCTCTTAATTACTTGGGGTCACGAAAATCACACGGCAGTGCATTCTGTGAAAAGCATTTCTCCCGTAGTCTATCTGGTTAGATTTCCTCTCTGCTTTTGGAAGCCAGCATCTTTCCTTTTTAAAATCTTTTTCGCGACAGTGGTAATGATAGTGAGGATGGTAACATGGACTCAGAATCTTAAAATCAGTCCCCTTTGTTGTGACTTCTGTAGGTCAGTGACAGGAGTCACTGTGTAGCCGTCTAAATTCTCTGATTTTTCTTACAAAACATTATTTCTAATACAAACAAAAAGTGTGGAACTTCTGAGAGCTACACCAGCTACTTCTTGGGGCCACAAAATTTTAAATTGTTATTTAGAAAAACAAAAGGTCAAACCAAACATGCTGACTGATAGAACGATCACAGAGGATCACTGTAATCTTCTTGTTCACGAAGTCAAAGCTGGAACAGAGTGGATTGGTAATTCTGATACCCTATTGGTATTGCTCAAATTCCTTGAACTGAAGTGCCGGATCTAGGTTGATCAGTCCATTATTAACCCTAAGAGTCACATGTTTTGTAAACATTGAATATCACACAATGAATAATACTGCAAAGCCAGCGTTTGCTGCGTTTACACACTTGATTGTATACCAAAGGCAAGGAGTCTGGGCTGTCTCCTGTAAAGGCAGGAGACAAATGGGGGAAGGTTAAGATGTTAAGAGGCCTACCCAGTAACATCCATAGAATGGCAGGATTGGCAGGTCCGGTCCTCTGCTTTTGCTGGGTTGAGAGAAAGAGGTCCCAGGAAGCCAACCCTGGTCCAGACTCCCAGTGCCAGTTACAGCTCAGCATCTGGGATTGTCACTGTCCCGGGGCCCTTTCTGGGTGTCCCACATTGCCAGGGTCACTGCCAGCTTCATGGGACAGAGTCTCACCTGCTCTGTTACCTCTAAAGTCCCAAACACCTAGTTCAATTCTGAGCCGGACGAGGGCTCACCTCCCAGCTGGTCACTTGCCTGCTTGTCTTTGTCTCCCTAAACACCAAGTTTCTTTCGCCCGGTCGGTTCTCCACCGAGGCAGCCCCAAGGCCAAGTCTAGGCGGGAATGGTGAGTGTTCAAAGCCTGGGCTAAAGTTAGGGGATTTCGGGCTTTAGCGGGAGGCCTCCTCCCTCTGTCAGGAAAGCAACCGGTGAGCGGCAAGATCACCTCAGGGCTCCGGGAAAAGTCCCGTCAGAAGGTTCGAGCTTCGCGTCCTGAGTCTGTAAGCAGGAGCTTGTGGGCGGGACTCGTACGGCCACCGTCCCCTCGCGGCCGCGCGCGCGGGGGAGACGCGGGGCGCCCCCCAGTGGCTGCCCGGCAGCGCCGCTCCGGGCCAGTGGAGGGAGGGGCGGCGGCGGCGGAAGCGGAGGCGCGGCGGCCGCGGGGCGGTCATGGCGGAGCCGGCGCGCGGAGAGCTTTCGGCCCTGGCCGCGATTTTCTGCGGGCCCGGCGAGTGGGAAGTGCTGAGCCACTCAGGTGACTACCCTCGCGACGGAGGGGCCGGACGCCCTTCCTCCCCACCACCGCGACTGGGCTCCCTGCCTCGGGGCCCGCCGTGGGGGGCGGGGGGGGGAACCCCGCTAGCTGAAGGATGGAACGACCCGCCCCGCGACCGGAGATGTGTGGGAGCAGGCGGGAGAGTGTGGAGACCGCGTCCGACGTGAACCGTGGCGCGAAGCGGGGAACCGAGGCCGGCGGGCCCGCGTCCGCCGAGCCTGCTCCCGGGCCGCCTGTATCGACTTCAGATCTCACCTTGGAAAGAGGCCTCCCCTGACACGCCCGGTTTAAACCCAGCCGCCCCAAATTGCGTTTTGTCCTTTGTAAGCTCTGTATTATTTCCTTACGGGCCCTCGCCGCAGTTTTAACCGCATATGGGCTTTCAGTGACCCAGGCTGCGGGACGGCGGGCACGCTGTTACGTAATCACACAACGCCGTGCACCCAGGACAGTGCCCGGCATGTGGTAGTTAGTAAATGTTTATTGAATGAATTTTTGAATTCGCCCAGTGCTCTATCCGAACGTTGTCTCGGTCCAAGTTGATTGCTCTTCTGCTTTGCTCTAGTCCGCTGAAAGGTGGCTGTCCATTGCTCTTGGGGACTCAACGGATCTTTCTGGTCCCGCGTACTGATTCCCAGTAAACATTGGGAAGGTTGACACCGCCCATGTCCTCCAGGAGCTTACAGTCTAGGAGGGTTCTTTTGGCTGTTTTTTGACGATAGGTAAAGCTAATTCTGTCCCTGTCTGTGACTTCTAGCAAGTAAAAACCAAAACTGCAGATTATGAGAAAGTGCAGTGGCGCAGATAATTTTCAGTTTTCGTTTAGATTTTAAGTACATTATGTAAATCTTTTGGCATGGGATTTAGCCTTCTGTTATGTTTCAACAACTATTAAAAATTGTCGTTGTGACTGTAGCTTGGTTGACGGTTAAGAAAGTAATCTACAAACGTTCTGGGCGTTGTGAGAAAGCCATCCAGGGCTAGGGTCTCGTGGTATCATTTGGTGCCTTGTTCTCACAGGAAGCCAGAGCTGGGCCTTTTCATTTTTTCCTTGCATCACCTGTTTTCATGGGACCACAGCTTTGTTCCAGACACTGAAGCAGTGCAGATCATGGAGAGCTGCTTCCTTTTCAGTGCCTAGCCTGTCTTGGATCTTATAGAAACTCATTTACAATCCATACGAAAGAATTTACTAATTTTAGTGTTTTCTTGTTATCCCATTTCTTACTGGGTAGCATTCATAATTCCTCATCATCTTACTTTCTCCATGTCTCTTAATTGATAATTACTTCTGCCTTAGGCAGGCTATTTGAGAAATCATCAGTTTTCCTAAATTCCTTCATTATGCCTCAGCTGGGAGTAGCCTGGAAATATGAACATATGGTTTCCCATCACACCTCAAAGAGGATGAGATGGTAGTGGGCTGGGTCATGGGTACACAGCGGAGCGTGAGACACTGCCGACAGGTCAGAGAAAACCCAAAAAAGTCAGCATAGAAAGAAAGCAGTTTTTTCATAGGGAGAACACTGTGGACCCTTTATCTGCTGTTAAATTGAGCATGACTTTCAGGCCATGCCTCCTAATTAATTTAATTCAACATTCTGGCATCAATAAGTAATTGAATTATAAAAGAATTCAGTGTAACAATTTAGGACATTTTGTTGCTGAAGGGTTCATTGGAGAATAGAACAATTCAGTGATTGAAATAGGGGTGTTTGATGTTCACAACTGGGAATTCAGGGTAAGGTAAGGACTTCTTTAACGGACCACAATAAACACAGTGGGCTTCTGGCTGCCATTCTGTCACTGTCAGCTCGGGTTGGAGGATATAAGTTTGATACCAGAACATTCCTAATACTATCAGGTTCTTTCTGGCCTCCCCCAAAATATGCTGCTTCTTGGTGCCCCTGGAATTGGGACGTTGTGGGTGGGATTGTACTTCTGGTATGAGATAGCCCAGGAAGGGTTAGACTGTCGACCCAAGGGTCAGCTATTAAGGCCTTGAGAGTGAAGAGGCTGAATAACTGGAATCGGTTAAGTTGGGCTAATTTGTGCTGGAAATTTCAGGGAAATTAAGCACGTGGTCTCTTTACAGTGGTTATAGTAAGCTTATATATAGTAAGAGGCATCAGGTATAACTTTTCTCTTCTGGGTACAAATTCTGTGAACCCTCACACTCCTGTCTACTAGGCTGGGCTGTGGGTAGACCAGATCAGACTTATTATCCCTCCCTGCACAGTGTAGTCGGGCTAGATGCCAGGTTTAATGGAGTCACGTACCTGATACTTCAAATGCATCGAGAAGTTAACAGATGAGCAGGCTGGTTAAGTAACCACCAGGCCCCAGAGTGTGTGGACCCTTGGCACTGTATCATTCTCCTTGATAGTAATGGGGCTACTGCATGAGGGACATACTTCTTAGGAAGGATAACACTTGTGAAAGAGCAATAATGAGCACCCAGAGAAAAGAGATGGGGATGCCCCAACTTAGGCTCAGAATGATTCTGAAGGGGAATGTGTGTGCATGTATATGCATGCACACCAGTCAGATAGAGGAGATTGATATTGTTATAAGTCCTCATTTTCCTGATGAGATACGTGCGGGTCACAGATTGTATTGGTGTAGTCAGTACTCACTATATATGAAGTTGTATTTGTGGAAATTATCTTGCAGATCAAACAGTTGTAAAATGGGAGGTATGTTAGGCTCAATGGCTTATGCTTGCACAGTGGCTTCAGAACGAATTTTGTATTCTGCTAACACTCATGTTCAGATTGGATTGGGCCCTCTTGCAAAATGAATCATGACTGTCACCCACTGACCCCTCTAAATCTGCTCAGCTCTCTTTCCTGCTGATTGTCAGTACTGAGCTCGCCTCTGTAAAACCAATTCGGCCTTGAACTTTACTTCTAAAGGACGGGATTGCCACTTTTAGCTTCCCTTATTTTTAGTTTTCCTTTTCCTTTTTTTCTCTGACCACATTTTAGACACCTGAAAATCCAGCTGTAACATAAAAACAAGCACAAGGGGGGTGTAGGCTTGTGGTGAGCTACCTGGGAGCAAGAGGAAAGAAAACCCTGTGCGGTGAAGTACCAGAGGATATTGGGGGCCTCTTACTGGTTTTCTGAACAAAGTCTTACTCTGAGGATATTTAATAGTTGAAAAATAAAAGGCAAGTAAAAGGAAAGCCAGTTGTGTATGGTTTCTTAATGGGCTCTAAATGAATTTTGAAGAACTCATGCTATTAAATTGTTCACATTTTTAAATGTCTTCTGTTACTGAACAGCATGGATTAAGTTTCTCTTGTGTGGCTATGAAGTGGGGGAAAACCGTAAAAATAACTTTGCTGTGGAATTTGCTGTTCAGTTTCTCTACTTTGAATTTCTGTTATTTTGAGTGGAGTTAGGTGTATAATTTCTTTCATGTACTTGTAAGGAAGAATAAGGTTTGAAACCTATTTGATTTGTGTTTTACTTTTAAAATTGATACACTTATTATAAGGCAGAGTGACTTACTTTAAAACAAACAAACAAACAAACAAAAAAAGACTAGGGAATTTGTTAATTTCAACCAGAGGCAAGACCTACATCTTTTGGTGGGGTTTTTGGATTAACATCATCTTGGGACTTAGGAAAATTTTCATTTTCTAGGACAAGCATAGGTTTCTAGGGCATAGCTGTGTATCGACAATGATAAGTTTGTGAATTAAACTTAATAACGAGTTTTTTGAGGCCAGGGAATGACAGATTAGCATTAGATTTAGAGCATGATTATTTTTCTGTTAATCGTTCTTTCTAAGCTGTTAATAATCTTAAAGCAGATAGAGACAACTTTGTTTTCTGAATCTTTTTTTTTAATGAAAAATCAGATTGACAGTACATGTGGTGACATGAAAAATTCTGATGTGAGAGAGAGCCAGTTTAATTGCATGTACAAACTAAGACAGATATGAAATGGAGGGGTAATATACACATTTCTAGAGTTTAAGGGAGAAAATGAGTTTTTAAAAGAATTTTATTACCACAATTAAATATCAGCAGAGTGGTGCATGTTATTGGGCTTTTCACTTTCCTGAAGTGATAACATCATTTTGTGTAATTTTAGTTTGCAGCCTGTGTGTGTGTGTCTGTGTGTGTGTGTGCGTGTGTGTGCGTGTGTGTGCGTGCTTTTGGTAGGAGGGAATGGGCAGGGAGTCACTGTCACCAACAAGGCCAGTTAGAAAGAATGTTAATCCTTTCCAGTTCTTAAAAGACTCAACGCAGTTTTTCTTCTAAACATGCAACTAATAATTTTATGATTTTCTAAGGCAAAAGTCAGGATTTCTCCCATTGCTTTTCTATTTGCTGACTAGGACCAGAAAATTACTAGGAGAGGAAAATGAAAATTGGTAAGGATTTGAATGGCCAGCTCAATAGCCTTTTTTATACTTTCTCCCTGGACTGGCTGTTTGTCAGTTGGTTATCTGCTCTGGGGAGGAACAGGTGGGTACTTATATGACAGGGATTGGAGAACACTGTGGGTTTCAGGGTTTTGATCAGAAAAGGATTCTTCTTGCTCGAAGGGAAAAGCTTGCTTTGTGGGCACAGGTACAGTATTAGTTTCCTGTGGCAACTGTAACAAATTTCTAAGAAACGTGGTGGTTTAACACATATTTTCTTTTATAGTCCCAGAAGTCAGAAGTCTGAAATGACTTTCACTGAGCTGCAGTCAGGTGGTCAGCAGGGCCACCTGGAGCTTGAGGGGTGAATCCACTTCTTTGCCTTTTCCAGCTTCTAGGGTGCATTTCTTGTACCCCTTGGCTCATGGTCCTTCTCTGTCTTTAAAGCCAACATCATGGCATCTGGCTTCACTGATTATATTGCCTTCTGTGGTACAATCTTCCTTTGCCTTACTCTTATAAGAACACTTGTGATTATATTTTGGGCCCGTCTCAGGATCATTAACCTCCTCACATCTGCAAAGGCCCTTTTGCCATGTTCTGGGGATCAGGACGTATGCATCGTTGGACCATTATTTAGCCTCCCACAGGTAGCAGTGACTTCTGCACCTGTGAGACCCATGGTTATGAGCTAGATGCATATACAGCTTAGAGCTGTGTAACTGTAAAATTTAAAAGTTTCTTATAACTTGTAAAATTACTTCTTGGTTGTTGTCTAAAAAGAAAAATGAGGTATTCCAATGTGTAGAAAATAGTTCATTTGGTTCCACCGTAATAATTCTGGTATGAAAGTACCACAAACTATGTTCAAAGTACCGTGGGAATCATAAAACAGATTTTAGGTGAATATTTGTTGAATAATGAGTGTATAAGGTCTTCAAAAGTTAAGCTTCCCCTTGAGAGAGAAATTGGGCTCCCTAGAGGTTTTACGGAGAGTTTCTTCAGTCATACATTGTCTGTAGGTGTATTTATAATGCCCATTTCACATAGTGAAGTGTACTGATCTAACTGACATATAAGGACCCTATTTAATAATAAAATACTTAAAAAAATAAGGAATTGGCTGGAGGAAAGAAGGGTTTTGAGAAACGTGGATTGTAGAGGAATGTACTAAATTCGATTTGGAGAATTTTTCTTTATACAGTATGCATTTTACTTATGTCAGCAAATTTTAGCTGTATCAATTTAATATGGTCTCCATAATGGTTATTGTCTGTGTTCTGGGTGGTGTCTTAAAATAGTAATGCTTTGGACGTGCCTGGGTAGCTCAGTTGGTTAAATGTCTGACTTTGGCTCGGGTCATGATCTCTCAGTTCATGGGTTCGAGCCCTGCACCGGGGTCTATGCTAGCAGCTCAGAGCCTGGAGCCTGCTTCGGATACTGTGTCTCCCTCTCTCTGCTCCTCTCCCACTCGCACTCAGTCTCTCTCTCAAAAAAAAATAAACATTAAATTTTTTAAAAAATAGTAATGCTTTGCAGCTGCTAGTGAAGAGTCTATTAAAACCACATGCACACATGACAAAAACCTCTCTGTAGCAGATGTGTTTGGTCCTGTACGAAATCAACGTCTGTAACAACAGCTTCTGTGTTAATGGAATCCGATGGCTAGAAAGCCATTTTAATGTTCTGTTTGGTTCTCAAAAGGGAGACACATTCAGGTTCCAGTTGTTGAGGCTGTTGGGCAGCCATCCATGTATGAAAATGAGAAAGGTTTGCCTGCCTCTCTTGTGAAGGAGAGTGGAACCAGGGCGTGTGGAGAAAGAAGTAGGGGTAGAGAGAGGCAAGTTAGCTTCAAAGAGATCTGTCTGCACCCAGTTCTGTGCTACTCTGCTCTTCTGATCTGTGTGCTTCTTGCCCCCTGCAGAATGAATCAGCCTGACGTTTCATCAACTTTTTGAAAAGTGGGGTGAAGTGGTGTGGAACACATCAGAGGGGTGAAGTGGAGCAAATCTGAAAGAGAGCAGACTGTTTCATCTCCTGTCCTGTGCGTGCTTCCCCCTCCTCCTGATGGAGCCAGAAAGGGCTGAATTGATGTCAGCCCCATTTTAGTTCATCTTGCTACCTTCATGTTACACTGATACTAATATATTTGAAGTAAGAAAAGAGCGGGGCCAGGCAGTTACTGTCTCGTGTGCAGTCATCGGTTTCTCTGCCCCTGCAGCCACACAACATTCCAGTGTTTGCTTTGACTTGGATCTGCCCCACAGTGACCGTCCTTGGATGTACTGTATCACGTTTTAATTAATTACTGGTTTTATACACAGTATTATACACAATACTGTTTCTCTGAACGTTCGGATGAATTTATTATGAGTTTCCAGAATTATAACTAAGTGTGGATAGAAAAAAGTTATGATGAGAAACCCTCTGGGAAATCTGAATCAAAATGGGGCAATAGCCAGTGTAGATGCCAGAGAACCCGGAGTCCATATGTGTGGTTGAAGGAGACAATCTGTAATTCACAGCTCTCTTAGTATAATGCGTCTCTTCACAAAATAACTCAAGTTTTCTCATAAAAAAAAAAAAGTAGATTTGAAACACCAGTTTTGACTTCTTAGTGTGCCATTCGAATCACATTATTCATAGCTAATAATTATTTTTGGGTGCTTTCCAGAGACAGATGGGACCGTGTGCAGAATTCTCACAAAAGCTGAAGGACTTGTGGGTGAGGATGTACCTTTAGAATTGCTGTTCCATTTACCGGTAAATTACCCTTTGTGTCCACCTGCCATCTCGGTTCACTCGGAACACTTGACCCGGGCCCAGTCCATGACTGTGAAAGAGAAGTTACTTAAGCAAGCAGAGAACCTTCTGTCGGAACCTATGGTTCATGAGCTGGTTCTGTGGACTCAGCAGAATCTCAGGCACATCCTCAACCAGCCGGAAACTGGAAGTGGCACCGAAAAGTGTACCTGTGCGACAGACACCACTGCGGGTGATGGACTGTGGATGACTCTTTTGCGTTTAGATCACATGAGAGCAAAGACCAAATATGTCAAAACTGTGGAGAAGTGGGCTTCTGACTTACAGCTGACAGGAAGACTGATGTTCATGGGTAAAATAATACTGATTTTACTACAAGGAGACAGAAGCAATATCAAGGTGCGGAAAGTTTAATGTGGAATATGAATTTGGCTATTTTCTGCCAAAATGCTGTTAATGGATCTCCATTTTCTTAAGAATGTCTTTAACTTCTAATCATGTCTACAAACTTGCAAAGCTTGAATAAGTAGATGATATTTGAAAAATCATTCCAGGGGTGCGTGGGAGGCTCAGTCGGTTGAGCGTCTGACTTCGGCTCTGGTCCTGATCTCACAGTTCCTGAGTTCAAGCCCTGCATTGAGCTCTCTGCTGTCAACACAGAGCCCGCTTTGGATTCCCTGTCCCCCTCTCTTTCTGCCCTTCCCCCACTTTCTATCTCAAAATAAATAAATAAACTTAAAAAAATCATTCCACATAACAAAAGTAAGGGTTATTAAAAAAAATCTCTGTAGTGCATGAATGTTTGTAATTAGCTTTGAGCCTTAACTTTATAAATGTGCACTAAAAGTTTGTGCATATTTGTATTTCGTTCTTTGACACAGCATGATGTCTGTTGGTGGGTAGTCTCTGAAACGTTTAACTTTTTGGCAGTTAAAAACACATTCTGACACTTTAATTTGGCTCCTCTAATACCTGGAAAGAGGAGCTGATCTTTCCTAACCAGGATTTAGTGTTCATGGAAGTAGGATCATTGAGGCTGTCAGCTTGTCACCACCTACCTCACTTTTGCTTTCCACCTGACTTGTCTCAGCAGCTGCTTTCAAAATCATCATCTTCAGATTTTCCAAGTTCGAATTCTCAACTCATCTAACCTGTTTTATGTGGTATCAGACAAGGAAAGCTGCTTATTATATTTTACATCTTGAAAGCACTACAAATCACTTAATAGGTTTTATGCTTTCAGATAGGTTGGGTCAAGAATACTTACAATTGAATTTATTCAAAACAGATTAAGCTTGCACAACCTATAATCTGTAAGATTTGTAAAATAACTATCTAGTTTTTTCAGGGTGGGCACTTACCACAATACGTAATTGGCATTTGGTTAACCAGATGAGTGCTGGGGTTATAGTGTGTAGATACCACAAATAATTAAAGTTTAATCTAAATCTTGGTTTGAGGTCTGTCCAAAGAACTAGATACTTTAAGGTGATTTATAGTATATCTACAAAACTTGATATTTCGAGTAAACTACTGGCTGACAAAATGAATACAAATTAATACTCTTGTTCGTATTTCCCTGAAAGGCTCAGATTTTTCTTTAAGCCAGCTCAGGAATGTTAGGCTAAGTGCAGCTGTTCTGCAGATGTTGTTACTCAGATTGAATCCATCAATCAATTAGCAAGTATTTATTCATTTGACTAGAACTTGGCTAATGTAGAGAAATTACACTTTTTAAAGAGTTCTTTTTTTTTTTTAAATTAACTTTCCCCAAAATGCCATTTAATGTAAATATCTCGGTTAAATTTTCTAAGATCGCAGATCAGGATGGAGAAGTACAGGTACCTATTTATAGATGCCATCCTATTTAGGATGGTAAGTGCTGTGTGCCTGTTAACCTCTTTCAGACACGGAAGTAGTAATATTAATGACAGCACTTGGTACTATTAATTGTGCTGTAGCAGTGTGTGTCAGCCTCTCCTCTGAGTGCTTTGCACATATTAACTCATTTAATCATGGCATCGCGTGAGGTAGGTGCTGTTAGGAGTGCCACGTCCCGGAGTAGGACCCGAGGCACAGAGGGTGTAGGCAGCCAGCGTGGAATCGCATCTAGCAGGCTGCGCGGTCCAGGTTTAAACCTGTGTAGTTTGATCGCATCCTTCTCCCAGCACATTCTGCTGCCTAGCGTGGAAAGACACCGTAGCCCTTTTGCTTGATTCAGAAAGGGGGTACTCATTCAACAGGGAGATAAGCCTGCAGATTTATGGCTCCTTTAAAACTAGGACTTTGAGAATGAGAGTAACATCTGTTTTTAATGTACTGATTTATCATTTAGGAATACCTGATTCTTCAGAAAACCTCCAAAGTAGATGTGGACTCAAGTGGAAAGAAATGCAAAGAGAAAATGATTAGTGTACTGTTTGAAACAAAAGTACAGACAGAACACAAAAGGTATAATTTAGTACTATTGCAGAAGGAAAAGTAACTGAATCGATAATTATACTCTGACAAATCTAGGCATATTCATGAGTTTCTCTTGTATAATGCAGGTTTCTGGCATTTGAAGTCAAAGAGTATTCATCGTTGGATGAGTTACAAAAGGAATTTGAAACTGCAGGACTTAAGAAGCTTTTCTCCGAATTTGTGATTGGGCTGGTAAAATGAAATGGAAGACAGGAATCTTTTAGTAAGATAGCAGTGGTTCTTTGTTTTGTTTTGTTTTGTGTTTCACATTGGGTTTTGGGAATGGCTAATTGAAATCCTCACAAGGGAACAATTTTAAAGTTTTTCTGAAGCAAAATGATAGCTACATTCTAACTTCAGGAACAAAACCCAATTTTGTTTATGGAATATTAAACAGTAAAAACATCCATGTATTCTAATTTTTGCCAGCAAAGGCTAGGTTCAATAGATGTAATGTTATTTGCAAGATAAATATAAGACGACGATGGTAAATGAGCCCTTGTGTTTATATAGCAGATTTGTTTGGAACTGTGCAATCTTCTGGCTAATTTTCTTGTAATTAAATGAATTTTTTTAAAGATTTGTTTTCGTGTTTACTTTTTTCATGTTTACATTTTTAGCATTTGATCACGATTTTCTTGCGTTCAGCTTATTATCTCTAATGTTTTAACTTGAATGTTAAGAAAAATATAACACTGATTTCTTTGTGAAAGTGCATAAATTGTTAGCTTAAATATAAATCAAAGAAGTTCTGTGGAGCTTGATTTATGATCACTTTCTTTGGGGTCCCAGATAGCATGGTACCTGCTACTTACAGGACTAGAGAGCCAATTTAAATTAAAATTCTTTTTTGAAAAATTCACCTTCTGGTTTTACAAGGGGAAGAATGTTTCACACAAAATGAACTTGTTAGATGAAGGAAATGATATAGAGATAACATTAAAATTTTTTTTAGTGTTTATTCCTTTTTGAGAGAAAGAGAGAGAAAGTGTGCACAGGGGAAGGTCAGAGAGAGAGGGAGACACAGAATCCAAAGCAGGCTCCAGGCTCTGAGCTGTGGGCACAGAGTCAGATGCGGAACTCGAACTCAAACAGCAAGATCATGGCCTGAGCTGAAGTCGGACACTTAACCAACTGAGCCACTAGGCGCCCCAAGATGCCATTATTTTATTTCCTAGGAAATCTGTTAAAGTATGATAATCTTAAAATATATTTACTATGACCTAAGGAGAGAAGAAACCATAAAATAAAGGCTTGCATTAAAATCTGTAATAGAAGTGTAAGGAGGCATTTACGTTTCAGAAAGGATATTAGTGTTCACAAAGCCAACTGTGCTTCTGAAATAAGGGACCAAGTGATGGAGGAAAAGCCACACAGATCCCTCTCACTGTGATCTATGAAGTACAGTGACGTTATTATGTGTATGTATATTATGTATATGTATATGATGCTGGGAGGCATAAGTGAGGACACATTACAGCATGCCAGTAGTGCTCCTTGACAGCGCTGCTCTGGGATCATGGTGGTTCGGCCTGATAGTCTCATTTTCAGGCACCCTTATAATTAATGATCGTCTTATGGGGTTCTCCTCCTGAGGGGGGATTTTTGGTTCATTTTATCTCATTCAAGGGTGTTTGTGATTTTTTTCCCTGGAGAACTGGTAAATGTAGTTGGGTTGCTCTATAGGAACAGTATATGGCAAGGAGAAGCCAGGCTATTGATATGCTAAACTGAAAATAGGCTCGAAAATTTTCGACTGGTCATTATCACCACTTTCTTTGATTTGCTAAACAAGGAGATTGAAGTTATTGTCATCAAGGCTGTAGCAGTAGGAGGAGGCTGGGGTCTGAATTTTATTTTATCACAAGAGAGCTGCTAGTGCTTCATTTTACCTTGACTCTTCTGTGTTCAAGTGTTTCCCACACAATCCTTTATGCTTCTCCAAACTTTCATCTTTATATTTGACCCCCATCCCTAGAGAAGAGCTTGAGTCTGGCAAAATTGAATGTTGGTAATGACTTTCTTCAAATTAATTACATTTCTATTTGCTAAAATTATGTTTTAAAAGTATTAGTTATGATTATTCCCTTCGATGTTTACATCTAAGTCTTTCACAAATGTTCACGCATTGGAATGCAAAGCTAACCTTGATGGTGTTCGAGATTTATGTGAATTTAATTTGACAATTCTGAATAAAAGAAAATTTAAAATCATGTGCACAAAGTCTGTAAGAGTCTCTTTGGTATTTTCTTAACTAGAGGAAGAGAACTGTTTCTATTGGTATTTTTTACTCAAACCCTGATGCTTTCTTTTCAGCTTGAGGTACTTCTGAAAAGATAATTAGGACTTCCAGAAGATAGAAGATGGGGTGCCAAGGGCTGGGACCCGTGAAAGACTGCACTGTAAGAGTAAGTACTAGTTGTCCCAGTAGTATAGCTAAACTTTGAGGATTCTGTTAGGTCCAGAAAGTCTTTGAAATTGGATTAGGGTAATCCATGATTCTAATGCACCATATCCTGTAAATCTTCTTTGGAGGAAGATAACATTATCTTTGGTGTCAAATTTATAAGTAATTTTAAAATTCAATATTCAGCAAATAATCAGAGATAACGACTCATGGAGACACAACATACTATTAGTGAGAAACAACAGAAACAATAAACAATAGAAATAGAAACACAGGGACTCTACGTCCTGGAATTATGAGACACAGAGCATAAAACAGTTATGCTTAATATGTTCCAGGAGATAAAAGCCAAACTTGGTACTAGAATTAGAAACTGTAAAATGTATATTTGTATTTGGAAAACAACAAAACAAAACAAATAGAAATTCTAGAACTGAAAAGTATTAAGAATTCAAGAATGGTTAATTAAGTTAAAGTGCAGTTAGGAAATCAGAAACCAGCCTAGGTATTTCAAACAGTGAATCTAAAACAGGAATTAGTTAAAAGACCGAAAGAGCGAAAAGGAGAAGGAATGGGGCTAGGTGAGAGAAAAGAAAAAAGAGGGGAGAGTGATCTACTCAGAGTTTAGAAATTGCTAAGTGTGTAACTGCTACTGCCCTTTAAAGACTGTGGTAGTTGGTCCCAGATCTGCTTAAATGGTGCTGCCTGGACCAGAGCTACCATTACTGAGAAGTACTATTTCTGGTCCTTTGGTGTTGCCACTTGCTGCCACTGCAGCAAATGCCAACAACTGTCACAGTTCTGGAACCCGTACCACCTTCAGACCTCCTGGCAGTGCCTCCTATTGACCAAACTCAACAGGAATCCAGCTGGCAAAGAAGTCTGGGAAATGCAGTTTGAATAACCCAACCCCAAGAGAATCACAAAATATGAGGATGGGTGTGTTTGTGTGTGTATGTGTGTGTGTGAAGTGAGGGGAGAGACCTGTGTGCCTACAGTAAGTAACCAACACAACCTTCGCTTTTACCTATTAAGCATTCACACCTACTCCTTACCCATATTTAAATGTCTGTGCAACTTCAGGTTTACGCTTCTATCATATTTAACTGTGTGTGTACAAATGAAAAGACTTAACTTTTCTCCCAAAAGTGGAGAAATTTTAAGGTCCCATCAGTTACTATTATACTCACTGGTGTTAATTCTTTTTCTTTCTTTCTTTTTCTTTTTTTAAGTTTAATTCTATATTTTGAGAGAGAGCGCGTGGAGGAGGGGAAGAGGGAGAAAGATGTGGGGCTCGAACTCATAAACCGTGAGATCATGACTTGACCCAAAGTCAGATGCTTAACCGACTGAGCCACCCAGGCACCCCAGGTCTTAATTCTTCTTGTTCAGTCACAATTCACCTAGATGTTCTGTAACCTGAAGATAAACTGTAAAGTTCACCACCACCAACGTTTCTTAATATAACTTGAGGGAAGGAAAGGGAAGAACTTGAGGGAAGAGGGAAGGAAAGACAGTTATAAACAAAGATATACAGAACAAACAATGAAGCAGATTTGCATGAATACTTTGATACTTATTTCTGTAACCGATCATGAAGCTGTAGCTGATATTTATAATTTCTTCCTCTACTCCATTTTTCTTTGCTCTCGGTCAGCACTTTCTCTAGTCAGGACTCTCTATCTAGTAGGGTAGCCAAATCTTTATTTTGGTAGTGTCTAAGTCTTCAGTAGTTGGGTTGCTTATTAACTTCAACTATTGAACAAAAAAAAATGTTGAGGGTTATTCCCTGGGCTTCTGATGTAGTTCTTGTCGACCCCATTGTGTAGCAGTAACACAGTTTTCCCGTAGTAATCTGAATCAGTCAACCCTGACATTTTGGGAACCTTTCTTTGCTTGTTGGTTTAGTGTTATAAGGAGTCTAATATATTCAGGTGTCAGTCTCAACTTCTGATTCATTTGAACCATTTTGTGTGCCTGGTAGAAACATTCCTTCCATGAGAACTAAGACTGCTAAACCAGCATAGCCCAAGTTTACAGAGTTGGGCATAAAAATTTTGTGAGTAGATTATAATACAGAAATCCATCTTATTTTATTCCTTGATTTCTGGACCCATGTATTCTGGCAGTGGGAGAAATAACACACATATTGATCACTGGTTCAAAGTACATTTTTATATTGTATGATGGCACCTTAACCTTTCAGAGTCTTCTCTTCCAGCTGGCCAAATAACTGACTCTTTTTGTAGGTCATTATATTCTATCAAGCTAGACGCTTCTGGGTGATTTGGTACATGGAAAGACCTATGAATTTCATAGTCATGAGCCCATTACTACATTTCGTTTTTTGTGAATGAATTTCTCATTTAGAAGTTATATTGTGCTCTCACAATGTCTGTAATATTGTGATTGGTAGTATTATAGGAAGAAACTTCTGATTCCTACCTGAAGTAAGTATTTTTATGAAGACAAATTGTGGACCCTTCCACTAGAGAAGAGGTCCAATGTAATTAACTAACCACAGGCAGTTAGTGTCTCCCAGGATGTGAGGCCCTATTGGTGGTTCAGCATTGATCTCTGTTCACAACAGGTAAGGCACTCAGCAGCGATAACAGCAAGATTAATATTGGTGAGAGAAATTTTATATTGCGGAGCCCATGTATAACTTCCATCCCTACTGCCATATTTGCTTCATATACGAGCCCGCTGAGCAAGCACCGAGGTGCTAGGGAAAGGGGATGACTAATGTCTGCAGGACGAGTTAGCCTGTCCATTTAATCAGTGAAGGCTTTCTATATTGTGGTTGCCCTTTGATAAACATCACATAGGACATAAATGTTCTCATAGTTTGTGCTCATCCTGAGGGGTCTATTCACATATCTCTGCCTTAGGTCTCTGAGTCATTAGTCTTCTGATCTAGTTCTTTCAAAGTGACTGATTTCCATGCCAATCCATTAACCATTGCCCATGAAATACTATAGATCTACACCATGGACATTTCTTTACCTAGGTTAAGTATACAACTAGAAGTACTGCTTGAAGATCTGCCCACTGAGAAGGTTTTTTTTTTTTTCTCTTCACTTTCACCACTCTTCACTTTAGAGTGGAATGGTAATTGCTGAAGCATATTGTGAAGAACCCTCCTCAGAAAGCCTGAGTTTGTTCTCCCTGGG